TTTCGTTTGTGTTTTTCTTTTTTGTTTTTGTTTAGAATTTATGTTAAAATACACGCGTTGCAATTTTTGTGTGCATTGCAACGATATCAAGTGTGAAATATTAAAAATTTGATCGTTGACACGTTGATCTCGTTTTTATATTTATTAAATATAAATTAACAATTAAAAATCAATAATCAATATAAAAAATAATAATTTAATTCAATATATAAATTGCAATACACCTTGATATGCATATACACTCACACACACACATACGTGTAATGTAATTTATCCGTACAAATTTCATTTGATTTCATTATACAAATAATTTATTCCAAATCAATTATTGTTCGTACGTTTATTACATAGATTCAAATTACATTCAATTCTTTGGATCAAATAATCTAAATTCTAACATACATATATGCATGTTAGAATTATTTTATAATTGTTAATATATATAATCAGGTTTTTATTGAACAACTTACAAAGTTTTTTACAATGTCTTATCAATATAATTGTTAATTATTATTTTATAATTGTTATATCAAATATACAATTTTGGGGTATATATTTGGTATTTAATATTTAATATACAATTATAAAATTTATTTGTAACAAATAGGAAAAAAACAACAACACTTCTCTCGGAGTTTCGTGTATTTGAAAGTAAAAAGAAAAAAAGAAAAAGAAAATATACTACTTCTGTTCTAATATAATACGAAAGACGTAATAAAAAAAAAAAGAAAAAAAAAAAAGATATCTCCTGTCGAAAATATTTTCCGTACATATATATATATGCATATTAGAATTATTTTATAATTGTTAATATATATATATAATCAGGTTTTTATTGCACAACTTACAAAGTTTTTTACAATGTCTTATCAATATAATTGTTAAATCAAATATACAATTTTTGGGTATATATTTGGTATTTAATATTTAATATACAATTATAAAATTTATTTGAAACAAATAGGAAAAAAACAATAACACCTCTCTCTCGGTGTTATTTCGTGTATTTGAAAGTAAAAAAAAAAGAAAAAGAAAATATACTACTTCTGTTCTAATATAATACGAAAGACGTAATAAAAAAAGAAAAAAAAGATATCTCCTGTCGAAAATATTTTCCGTACATATATATATATGCATATTAGAATTATTTTATAATTGTTAATATATATAT